TATGGGAAAGATTGAAGGCAGGATGAGAAGGGGACGACAGAGGATGAGATGATTGGATGGCATCACTGACTCAATGGACCTGAGTTTGAGTAAACTCCGGGAGTTGGTGATGGACAGGGAGGCCTGGTGTGCTGCAGTCCATGCGGTCTCAAAGAGTCAGACAGGACTGAGCAACTGAACTGTACTAAAGTGAAGTGATATTAGTCACTGTGGGAGTCTCAAAAGTGGCTAAAAATCAGTTTGGAAGTACACCTGAACAAAGTGTGGAATTTTAATTAGAAAGAGGAGGTGACTAGGTGTTAGCTGGTGTCAGTAATTTGTATAATGAATCCTGAATTCATTCCTAGTAAACATATTTGTCATTTTCTCAGGAAATGGCATTTAAAGATTTTAGGAAAGCCTCTGAAACTCTCATCTGAGATATATAAAATTCCGTCCATGTACTATTGAGGAGAACCAGTTTTGCCATCTCTTAAAGAGTCATTAGAGTAAGATTTGTGAACCCTGAGTATCTTCTCTCTTCTCATGGAGGAGTTCAGTGTTTAATTTATTCTGTTTGTGATAAGGTGTAAAGAATTCTTCTTCAGAACATGTAGATCTTTCAGTTAATACTGACTGTCATTGATCATTCTTTAAAATAACATAAAGTATTCATATTTACTTCCAAGCTGGAATGTGTAAGTAATGCTTGGAAGTGTGATGTGGAATCCCTTCACAGATAATAGTCATTCTAAAGAGAGATATTAGCACTCCAGTATGAAATACAGGAGAGATTCCTACTCTGTTTTGAGTGTGTCGATGTATTTTCACTCCTGGGGACTGAGTCTTCCCACAAATTTCAAAGAATGACCTAGGACCTTTTGTTGCCCACTTGAGCTAGTAATATAAGTCCTGAACCAATGGGGTTTGATTTTTCTCTCTAGTTAATTGATTAGAGCCAGATTCTCAAATCCCACATTTCTTAGAGTAGATTCTACTAAGTTCTGAGTTGGCCATTCTTCTTTTAATCAAAACAAAAGAGGACATCTGCATTTTTGTTATATTCATTTCAAAGTGTTATACTATTAGATTCAGAATCACCCTGAATAATTAGCAGTAGTAGAATCTGTCTCTCCATTTTCAAAAAGCTGTCCCTGCCAGTATAAGGGCCTATTTCTACAATGGTGGTATACCATATAAATATATAAACATTGGGATCCTGAGTGTCCAGATTACTTAGGACCAGGAGTCATCATGGCAGGAAGATTTGGTCATCTGGAGCTCTCAGACCCGTGAAGCTTCCCAGCACTGTCCTGATTCTGCTTTCTTGCCCGCTGCCTCCTCAGTTGTCCCTGTAACACCCACACATACAGAGTCTTGAACACCCTTTGCACCAGTTCTGCCTATGTTCTGCCTTTGTTGTTCTTTCAGGGTGTTCTTCCATTTCCTCAATGAGCTTTATTAACCAGGAGATGTGGATGAGTGGGAGCAGGAAGTCTAAGGTCTCTCTCTGTCTCTTGCATGGCGTGTATGTGTGTGTGAGAGAGAGAGAGAGAAAGAGTGAGTGACTTAAACCTACAAAGCTGTACACTTTCACACAGCCATCCAGCCATGCTGACTTTCACCTTGAAAGTATACTGCCAGCCTGGGTCCCTGGAGCTAGTGCATTGTCCACAGGAAATTTGCAGCATTGGGTAACTAAATTTTAGAGTTAGGCCATTCTTTTTTTGAATTTATTTTTAATTGAGGATAGTTGCTTTGTAATATTATGTTGGCTTCTGCCAATGAAAATCAAAACTACAATGGGGTATCACCTCACACTGGTCAGAATGGCTATCTTCAAAAAAAAAAAAAACTACAAACAATAAAAGCTGGAGAGGGTGTGGAGAGAAGGGAACGCGCTTGCACTGTTGTTGGAAATGTACATTGATGCAACCACTATGGAGAACAATATGGAGATTTCTTTAAAAATTAGGAATAAAACTACCATATGACCCAGCAATCCCACTACTGGGCATATACCCTGAGAAAACCATAATTGAAAAAGGCCATTCTTATTTTCCGTAACTCTTTTCTTTGTGGAAATGGTGAGGCTTTGGGCTAGTAAATTATCTAAGTATGTAAAGATTTGGGAAGCCTTTGCAAGTATTTTCTCTCATAATTATTTAAAACTTAGAACTCTGAAAAATTGGGGGGAATATGCCAAAGAATACTTGATTTGAAATAAATAGAAACCATATGCTTAAAGTACTGTATGTAGTCAAGATGAAATGTCCATGTTTGCTATAGATCTGTTCTCATTTTTCTTAAGGGAATTTTAATCCAAATGTTTTATTATCATTGGCAAGATCCAGATTCTGAATCTACCCTCAGTGCTTTGTTTTGTTCAGTCTCAGCTTTTGGATCAAAATAACCACTTATTATTTTGCCAGAAATTCAGCATTAACACTAACGTATTTCTTGACAATTGCACAATAGTGTCGGCTATCATGAGAATTACTTTGCTTAAAATAAGTATATTAAAATGCAGACACACAACATGCACACAGTATATATTTATATGTTTTCAAGCTAAAAGATGGCTTATGGAAAAATGTGAAGTCCAGTTATTTGTGTATTTTAAGAAAAAAGCTTAAGCCAAGAACATGAATCTTAATTTGTTTTCCATTGCCAAGAGCCAAGATGGGGGAATACTTTAAGTAATGGATAATTTACCCTTACCCTCAAATTATCAAATATATGGGTCTTAGGAGTAACATATTATAAGCACTGTGTATGCATATTTATGTGGAAATGTAACATGTGTACACTAAGAGTGAATTTGGGAGGAAACGTTTAAAATGTCATCCAACAGATTATCAAGTTATTGTCTCCAATTTTAATTACTTCTCCACAGGGAAGTACAGTGGGAAGGTATTTGTATTTTCTTAGAGCAGAAAGTATTAGAATGTTGGTAGAATGTCCTGTTTTAAGCAAGAATGAAGGAGAGCTATGAGCCATTTGCTTCCTGAACGGCTGCATTCCAGCTGTGCAGACTGATCACAGCACATCCGCCAATCAGAACAGGCCCTGGGGGGAACCTTGGAGGCTGAGTCTTGTTTACATGCATCGTGACTCTGTTTCTCCCCTCCTCCTGTGTGTTGTATGACTAGGAAGATTTGTAGGGGAATTCGCTATTACGTGCCTAAATGAGCTGTATGAAACTAAGACACCAGCCACAGCAAATTGTATTACGGGCACACTTAGCTCATCTTAGTTACAGGTAAGAGCTATTACTTTGTTATGAGGATAGCTGATGTGCATCTAGTTTCTGGCTTTACTTTGAGACAGTAGGCTTTACTTTTGTTAGCAAAACTAACAGGCTAAAAGCTGAAGAGAAACAGTAAAAAATGATTTAACATGTGCGCTGTATTCCTGACTTTAAATTTTGTAGTACTCAACAAATGAAAAACTAGATTTTTATTTAGAGGAGGGGTAAACTAAGTTAAATTAAAAGTTTTAAAAGTGGCAGTAACACTAAGTCACTGTGTAGAGAAATTGGAACCAGAAGCATATTAACCTCATGTGTTTGGGAGAGCCTTAGCTAAACAAATATGTTTTATTGTGGGTCTTTCTCCTTGTCAGGATTTCAGAGGACAGTATCTTCCTGTGTGCTAACTCCTTGATTTAAAAAGACATTTCTTTTTTATTAAGTACCCATTCAGAAAGAATTTGTATTTAACTATTGTAAATCTGATTCATTTTCTTTCATAATTTTCTCATAAAATTTCTTCAGAACTTTTAGAGAATGTTTTCGTTGTCTTTATGCTGCTGCATCAGCAGTAAAATTAAGGGGGGAAGAAAGGATTCTAGTCTAATCTTTGTTTAGCCACTAAATCGTATCATGTTAGTGTTAATTCAGAAGATAGTTTAGAAAACTACCTTTTGATAATCTTGCATAGGATTTTTAAAAGTCATTCTATAAGACTTTATTGTGGTTTTACCAGTTGCTTACTTTCTTCTTTTTTTTTTTACCCATTGCTTTCTGTTGTTAGTTTTTCATTAATACTGCTATCTTGCTACTTCATTTATTTTTATGCATGTACTGAAGGAAAAATCATTAGTCAAAAAAAAAAAAAGGGCAACCTGTGGATTTTATGGTTCTTTCTCTTATATATAATAGTCTTCAGGTTGATGAAGCACATTTTAGAGTAGTATGTAGAGGCACTTTTAAAAACGTCTAGCAGCTAGGCTTTGGCCTCTTATTCTGTAGCAGGATTTCTCCATTTTAACACTGTTGACATTTTCGGTGAGATTATTCTTTGTTGTAGTGGTTAGTAGCATCCCTGGTCTCTGCCCACCAGACGCCAGTATCTCCTTCCTCCTGAACTGTGACAACCACAGACTATTTCCTGGCACTGCCAGGTGTCCCCTTGGGAGGAGGAGCAGAATCGCCCCTGGTCGAGAACCACTGCCTTGTAGCACTTTAGACCTAATTTTCTGTGAAACATGGAAATCCAACTTCTGAAAAGTTCTGGGTGATAGAGAGTTAAGGAGGAGGCTGTACTGGTCTCAGTGTATTTGCAGATGTAGCTGACTGCTCATTTCTTTCCCCTCCCCATCCTGTTAGAAACTTTTGCCAACCATGATTCATGGAATGATTTTTTTGAGCTGAGTAATTTGTGGCTTTTCAGTTTCCTTACTTTCTTTCCTTAGCTAAACTTGTTTTGATTTTAGCAAAGTGTTTAAAACAGCAAAGATCTTTGAAAATGAAATAATACATGTAATGATATATTTTCTAAGTAGATGATTTTTAACAAACTGTAAAAACTTTATATGCCTGTCCTTCTTTGTATCTTTCATAACTCCTCTGTCAGACAAATCCTCTCAACTCTGAAGGAGAGCCTTATGTAGGGGAAGACACAGCAACCTTTGAACAGTCCTTTGTGAAATCTGATGGTATGGCAGCTGGTATTTAAGAACTTCTTTTCTAAGACTTCTAAAGAGCATTTTAAAAATGTAACTGTCTTCTTTTTTTACAGATCGAAACGAACGAAATAAACCAGAGCATCGTTCTTCAAGGTATGAATTTATAGTTATAGTATTTAATAACTCTGTATATAGCTTCTCTTTTAGGAAATATTATTTGGAAGAAGTGCAAGTGTACCTTTTTGAAACACTGTATATTTGAATCTTCCATGGCCCTCAGGCTTCACAAGGGAAATACTGTTCATTCTCAGAACAAACATTCTTTAAAAAGTATTGACTACCTGGAAGACATGTTTTATTTTGAGAATTTGTGTCAGTGACAGGTATATTTTTACAGAAAATTATTTTAATCCCTGTTTCTTTTCTTTTGTGGTTTATTTCCCTCCACTTTCTTTAATTGGTATTTTTATAAATGTGTACTGCTTTATTTTTCTAATTATGTATAAAGCTAGCATGAGCTTATAGAAATTTAAAAATTATTTTTTAAAGTAGAAATCATTTTAAAAAAATGTCTTTCATCAACTGGAAATGGCAGTATACTGCTAAAAATTTGATGTAATTAATTCTTTCTAGAGCTTATCAGTATATATATATATATTTATACTACAGTCCCTGGGATCACAAGGAGTTGGACATAACTGAGCAACTAACACTTGTCAAACTTATATGTGGAAAATTGTCTAACTTCCACTCTCTAGGCAAGAATGACAGATCTTTTTTGATTTTTTAACCTAGTTCTGTGAAGGATTGTAACTTTTTAATATCATTTTCACCTTATTCCACATTTTATCACTTTTTCTTTGTATTTTATATTGTGATAGTGTGATAGTGTTATTAGTCGCTCAGTCGTGTCTGACTCTTTGAGACCCCTTGGATTGTAACCCACCAGACTCCTCTGTCCATGGAATTCTCCAGGCAAGAATACTGGAGTGGGTTGCCATTTCCTTCTCCAGGGGATCTTCCCAACCCAGGGGTCGAACCCAGATCTCCTGCAGTGCAGACAGAGTCTTTACCATCTGAAGCACCAGGGAAGCTCCAGTACATTTTGCAGAGATTGTCAATCAGAGTAAGTTACTGAGATCTAATCTGGGAGGAAAATACAACTAAGTACTTGGGATGTGAGGTGTTTTTTGGGGGGAGGAGTATAATTCACATACATTAAAATTCACTCTTTTTGGTGTATGATTCTATGAGTTTTGACAAACACGTACAGTTAGATAGCCATAATCATAGAAAAATATGTAAGATTGATTTTTTAAATACTTAAAAAATAATAGAAAAAAAGAATGTAAGAAGACTTTGACAGCATGCTTGACTGTGAGTGACATAAAGTTGAAAGGGTAAAAAATACTTAGGATGATAAAATCAGGATCCTGACATACTGAAGGTTTGATTGAATTAAGCAATATGAGTTTTAATTGGAACAAATGTAAATCCTTACCCCTATGGCTAAAAGATCAATGGAGCATGAAGCAATAGGGGAGAGGTGACTTAGCAATATTTTTGAAAAAACCTTGAGGATTTAATTCTTCATAAATTCATCATGAGGGGAGTTCCCTGGTGGCCTAGGGGTTAGGATTCTGGGCTTTCACTGTCATGGCCCAGGTTCAGTCCCTGGTCAGTGAACTGAAATCCTTCAAACTCCACAGCATAGCCAACAAGAACAAAATAAATATATAAATTCATTCATTAAGAGTCAAAAATTTCATGTTGTTGCCTCCACCGCCCCCCAAAATGTCAGCATTGATTTAATTATCCTGAAAGACCTAGAATGTCCAGTATAAGAAAAGTGATAGCTCTCGACCACACTTTTGATATGCTATTCAATTCTGGGCCCACAAGGCTTTGACAAATTGAAGTGTGCGTAGGACTGGCTTTGTCGATATTACTTGAGGTACTTAAAAGCAGAATCCTGTGATCTACTCCAGATATTTGTAGGTGTGGAGTGAGGAGATAATGGGAATCTATATATTAAAGAAGTGGCGAGTGAGTCTGATGGAGAGCCAGGTTGGGAACCACTGGGATAGAAGACCACAGCTGAGTTGTTGGGAGAGGGAAAGTGAAAGAGAAGAGCTGGGTAGAAGTCAAAGCTAAGTCATAGGAAGACTTGTTTAAGGAATTGGGAGAAGTTAGCCATGGTTTGGAAGTTTGGGAAGGGGTATAAAACAGAAACAACTGGATTCAAACACCTGAAAGGCTGTAGAAGAGACTAGCAAAATTGTTCTCATAATTGCTGTTCCCAGCATTAGCTCCCAATTGCTAGGAAGAACCAGGGAGCCTCGGAGGAATAGCTAATTCCAGATCCTGGGAAAGGGAAAGTCCGGGTAAGCCTGGACCCTACTAATAGGAAGGAAGGAAGTGCTCGACCATTGGGGTCATGTCAAAAAGGCCTAGGAGGCAGCTTCAAGAGGCTCCCATTGGCCAAATCTGGGACAATTCGAGTAGCAAAAATTTTAAATGACAATAGATTCTAACAATGATTTTTTTAAAATCCATGTAGAAGAAGAAATACTTAAGTTTTTAATTATAAAGGGTAAAATGTACCTTTGTCAATGAAGAGCCCTGGTAATCACAGTGTTAATCAAGTGGCCAACTTGTATACCTGTCACCATCTGTCTCGCTCTCGGGTGAGACAGCCTGACATTCTGTGACTCCAGCTGATGCTCTAGCAGTGCACATAGATGTCATTTATATAATAGGAACCCTGGCCAAGAAAAGGTAATATGAAAATACAAAAAGGCTAAAAAGATATTTTAGATTTTAAAAGACTATGGTTGTTGTTTTTTTTTTAATCTGGAATTTTAAAATCTAGATTTTAAAAAAATGCTTTGGGGATAATTAAGAAAATTTAAATATGAACTTTATTTTAGATATTTTTGTTAATATTTCTCTGATTAGGTGTATATAGGAAAGCTGTTATGTGGGAGAATGTCCTTATTCTTAGGAAATGTAAGCAGATGTATTAGAGGCAACACAGGCTTATGTTTACAGCATAGTCTCAAATAATTCATGAACATTTAAAAACAGAGATATAACAGTAAATACAGGAAAATATTAATAATTGGTAAATAGATGAAACGTATATATGGATGTTCACTGTACTATTCCTTAAGCTTTTCTGTAGACTTGAAATTTTCACAACAAGAAGTAGTCGAGGAGGGAATCTGGAGAAGGGGATGGCAACCCACTCTAGGATTCTAGCCTGGAGAATCCCCATGGACAGAGGAACCTGGCGGGACACAGTCCATGGGGTCACAGAGAGTCAGACATGACTGAGTGACTAAGCATACACAGTACAGTGGACGGAATTATTCTATATGTTCTGTGTTGTCCTGGGGGTAAAATATACATCTGTGGGTGCAAAGTTGAGAGAGTGGATTTCTGCACAATGTGAGGAAGGATTTCCAGACGTAGCAGGTCAAGGATGGAATGGCATCTGTGGGGGACACTGTCAAGGAAAAGCTGGACAAGTTAGTGGAGGGGATAAAATGGAGAAGTTTCATGCATAGCCAAATCATGATTCTAGACGGCTCCAGCTCGTGCTCATTCAATAGCCGATAATATTTGTTGAGAGACCCTAATCCAGGCTCAGGACACAACAGAAAACAAGGGAAGGTCTCCAGCTTTGAGGAGCACAGAGTGCCCATTGTTTGGGATTTACATTCCCGATCGCTTACGTCAGGATCCAAGTCTTCCTAGTTCTACTTCAGGCCGTGCTTGTGGCGCTCGGCCTTCAACCTCTAATTTATACTTTCAGGCTCTCCAGGACTGTGAGGCTGGTCTTGGTAACCCTAGCAATTAGCACATGCCTGGTTCACAGTAAGCACTTAATAAACAAATGTTGGAATAAACGTCAGATGTAGTTCAAAGAGAGACAGGGAATGCCAATATTTTTTCCTTACTGACTGGAAAGAACCTGCCTCTCAAAAGCTTGCCCATGAGTGCTGTTGAGTGCTTGTTACTACAGCAGCGAGGAGCACACCCTATAAGAAAGAAGCGTTTTCCAGGAAAGGCCACTGTCCTCTGTCTGAGGTGTCTGCCGAGACTGGCAGTGGCCTGCTCTTCCCCTGCTGTCCTTAGTTGAGCAGGCCACCCTGCCAGTCCATCAACCAGATTAATACCTGCTGCATCAACAGGGCAGAGGGGAGAAAATATAAACAAAAGTCACTTAATTTTGGTGTGCTTTTTGGTTCTCCTCAGGCCACTTGGCAGCAAGAACATGGGCTCAATGCCCAGCATGCATAAGAGAGATGCATTTCTTTGGTTTGTGTTTTTATAAGGCCAAATACTCCTATAGCTTTCACAGTGAGAGGTGAATAAATCTGGGACGGCTGCCTGTTCTTTCATTTCAGTGCTGAAATAAAAAGGAAAGTAAAACTTTTGTCAAGTTAAAGGAAAAGTTTTATTAGGTATAGGTCAACACTAAGACCCCAAGCTAAAAAAAGCATCACTTAAGCATTTTGGAGAGGCTTGCTGGGTGCTTTTTGATTGGTTTGTTTTGTAGAAGTCAGAAATATCTGAATTCTTGTCTTTTCCTTGTTAGTTTAAATATACCATTTCCCAAATTGATGTCCTGTGGAACTTTCTTTGTAGAATATTAATCAGTATGCAAAAAGTCAACAATTACTGCATGCAAAAAATTTGGAAATGGTGAGTTAACAAAATTAGACATATTTCTTTACTGAGGGTTTTTGATATACTGAAATGCATTATAAAACTCCAAGTCAGAAACTTACCACAGAGGATTTTTTAAATTTGTCTGAATTTATAACTTCCTTTCCCAGACACAGGTACTAATAACATCTAGAAAAATGTACTATGGAATGGCAGTTGGGAAACTAATTGAGAGGGAAGTAGGAGCTAAAGATAATAAAGAAAGTTAAGCCCTGTAGTAATCAGTGCCAGCAATGGAAAATTAGGAACTTTTTTTACCACCCCAGCAGGTCTGAATAATAGGTCCCAATGACTTATGGCGACTGAAAAATAAGCTACTTTGTCTTAAATGTTTTACATACTGCAAGGAAATAATTTATAACAGAAAAAATAAGAAGGCAGCAAAACAGAGAACCCTTAATCTGTTTCTCAGAAATTAT